GGTGGAAGAGGGGGCGGGCTGGGGTGGGAAGCCGAGACCCTTAGGACGGCCTTGCGCAGATCAGCAGGGGCAGCGTGGGCCAGGTGGGGACAGAGGACGCGAAACACGTAGATATAAACCCGGCGGAAGGACGCCCGTGGCCCTGCTCTTCCCGAGCTTGGGAGGCAAGGAGGCCCGGAGGCCGGCCGAGGACTGAACGCCCCAGGCACAGCCCCGTGCACCCTCATCTAAGGGCTCTGCGCCCAGGGGACAGCAGCTTCCAAGTCCAAAGTCAGAAGGAGGCTCCTCCCAGGGCCTGCCCCGCCCAGGAGGTGGCAGCAGCCCCCCTCCCCCAAGGCCAGGGACAGAGTACAGCCTAGTTCCCATGCTGCGGGCACGCATGCCGCTCTGTGCGTGCTGGAACACGCCCCTTTGCACACCGACTCCACACCGGGGCTGAAGCTCACTCCTTACCCACAATCCCCCTCGCCCTGTGTGCAATTACATGACAACGTGTGTGCACACATGCGGCACTGGATGCACACTGGAGCGCATGCACACACGTGCACCCCCTCGCACACACATCCGCACCCTCTGCATGCCAAGCCCCCGAGGACTCCAGCGTGTCAGCACACTTGGGCTCCCACACCCAGGGCCTCCACAGAGACATTCCCGACCCCGAGCACATGCGTGACCCAGAGCAGTCTGGGCCACCCCAGCTCCCAACTGACAGCATTCTCAGCAAGTCACCTCTCAGTCCCCGGTGACGGGGAACTCACTCCCTCTAGAGACAGCTTCAGGGCTGTCAGCCACAGGAGGACAGGACGGAGTCTCATTCCGAGAGGCGTCCTAGCCCCCTCACACCCAGGCTGACCCTTGGAGAAGGGCCAGTATTGGGGGAGCCCAGGATGCCGAGATGCCCAGCTCACTGCCAACCAGGGGTGCCTCTGGAGGCAGAAACCGCCACACTGAGGAGGCCCAGAGGGAGGCTGGGAGGCGGCGGCACGGGGAGGCAGGCACCTGTGTGCTCGCGGGTCAGCTCTCTCCACTCCATCCGCTCTCATCCCCACACACTCTGGCCCCTGGGCCTCCCCTCGCTCCCTGGGGTGGGCGGCGCGGACCCCAAACTGCCTTCCTCTGCTCTCGGTCTGGGAAGCTGTGGCCCTGAGATGGGAGGGGTTGGTGGAGACCCCGGGTCCCAGCAGGGGTCTGGGCTGAGGCCTGGGGTCGGAGCATGGAGCCTCAGACGTGGACGACAGCCATGTGTCCCCCGTGCGACTGGCTGGCCCCGCCAACCTGCAGGGCTTCTGGGGGTCCCTGTGCCCTGAGCTAGGGCCCTCCCCGGCCACTGCCTAGAGCCGTCCAGGCAGAGGTGGCCTTCGCCGTGCAGGTCTGGGGCCAGAGTCTAACCCTCTCTCTCCCACCGTAGTCTGGGTGGCTCCTCTGGCTTTCTC